TTGCCACTTCCTTTTTTGCTATTATGGTGACTTTTTTTAAAAGTATCTTTAAAATTTGAATGAGGAAGATAAAAAATTTATCTTCTCTTTTGTCCCTTTTTACAAGGTCTGTTCATGTACTTTTGAGAAAATTCTTTGTGGGTTGTGCTATATTTGATAGCACACAACAATAAATATTTGATAACTAATACGGAACCAACGATGAAATTTGTTAGATGAACCAAAATGATTGCTCTCTTGCTTGCCACAATTAGTATATTATTTTTATTGTTTTTTCTTAGATACAAACATTTGTATGATATTGCACTATTTTTAGAACATTTGTATAGAGACAATTTGTCCACATCTTTTATTGCAAGTTAACTAATTTGTCAAACTTTTTCTTCTCTTCTATTATTAGCATAATAAGAGATCAAGTTTCGTGAAACTAACAAATCTCCAAAATACACTACAACAAAAATATTTTATTGGCAAAAAATATGCACATTTATAAAAAGTGCTACAACCTTTAACGACATTAATTAATTGCCATTGAATTCAATGTTCTTATAGACTTTAGAGACACTTATACAGAGTACCAATTGCCTCTGAACATACATATTTATGATAATGAATTTATTAATTATCATTAAAGATTATTTTTTTTGTAGTTATAACTCATTCTTTTGATAATTTTTTTAACTTTTGATAAAGAACTAATACCTCTTTTTGGCTTCTTTAAATTAAATTTGTGAACAATAAATTTGGATACTACCCGAAAAACTATCTTTTGGAAAATATATTAAGCACATGCATTTTTCTTTTTGATTGTTAGGAAAGTGAGACCTTCTTTATTATTATTTTTGGATATTTATGTGTTCAAGTGCTCACAAAATTATGTTGTGAGATTTTAATATGTTATGTGTTAAAATTTGGTTTAGTATATCCCGTCGTGAACATTCAGATGTCACCTACTACTTAGTTGATAGTTGCATTTATTTTTTATGACTACATACTATAACTATAACAATAATTATGTTTTAATACAAATATGTTGGGCCGGTGATATGAAACCTTAAAAATATTAATGACTATTTTGACACAATGCCAAAAAAATTTATGATAATAACAATTTTAGGGTCATTTTTAGCATATACTTGATATTGCATACAACAATAAAAAGAAATTGATTGAGGTTCATAAAAAGGAGTCCAAGATCGTCCATTTGAATCTAATTAATTATGATCCTGATGGACGTGATGTTCCACATAACTTGGGAGTGTTGTTTTTCAACATTTTCTGGTCTCTTTTTTAACTTCAAATATTGTTCTTTATGACTTCTTAGAATCTAAAATCTTTCATTACATTTTACCAACTATTTTGAGGGAGAATTTCTTAGACTTCTTTTTAATACTTAAAATTAATCTATGACTCATAATTTTTGTATGAAATTTTAAAAAAATATATCACTTTAAGATTTTGGAGAATCGATTTGGCTTAAGATAAAATGTTTTTGCCAATTATGTATTGAAAATTCAAATATTACGAAATAATAATATGTAAGCCTAATAAAATAGTTCAATACCGTGTGAAGCACGGACAATTTACTTAGTTTATTGTGAAAATGAAGTGATATATTTTTATAATAGAATAATTAATTTAATTAAAAAAGTCAACAATAAATAAATTATGTTTCTCCTTTTATTATAGTAAGATAAATAAATAGAAAAATATAAATTTTTTTATCATAAATGATTCTCTATTAATAAAATATTTATTTATAATAAATTTACCTCTGACTCAAAAAGTCATATTCGTATATATATTTATGAAATTTGACGTATGACTCAAAAAGTCATAATTATATTTCCATTTAAGAAATCTAGAGTATGACTCAAAAAGTTATAATTATATTTCCATTTATGAAATTTAATATATGACTCAAAAAGCCATAATTATATTTCTATTTATGAAATTTAGCCTATGATACAATTTACATAGACAATATATAAACAACCAATCATATATATTAATCTCTAATATATATCACAATTTTTATTTTGTGTTCACATTTGTATTCTCTAAATTTTTATCCTTAATTTTTTGTCAGATCAGATTCAATGTTTCAATCATATGTCAAGTCTAACTTGTTTTTTACTATATAAATAGATCATTTACCATGAACTTATGACATCTTTTTCTATCTCTATTCATCAATTAAAAGGTGTGTAAGAATCTCTCTTATACATCTCTTTTCTCTTGGATTTATTTTGTTTGTTTCTTATATAAATTGATTGGTAACAATAGATAAACATACTAACACTTGTTTTTTTCTTGTGTTCTTTTGTTTTATTGAACAAAAAATTACTAAAGAAAAATGACAGATTCGGGAGAATTAACCTCCAAAAAAAAATCAGAAGGGCGAACGCAAGTCCCAAGATCCTCCGTGGAACAAATTCAACAGCTTGAAGAGTAAAAACAATTTTATTACAAAAAAAAAATCTTGATGTTCAATTCTCTTACTCATTTTTTTAAAAAAAAAGATATTAGGCTATTTTCCAAAGAGGCATGAGTGATAAAATCAAAATCCATTAGTTGTATGATCAAATGTTCTGAATGTGTATGTGTGCGCACGGATTTTTTTCAATAATTCAAATTTAATTTTTATTTCTTTTCATGTTTTGCCTTTTTTTTTTTGCTTAAGACTATTGATAAATATATATGTATTTTTTATTTTGCAATTCAATTTTTTTGATTGAATTGCTTAAAATGGTTCAAAAATAGGTTTTTTTGGATGATAAGATCTACCATGTATATACATCCTTTATTAACGAACTAGTTGTTCTTGATAATTCATTAATAACTTTAACAAAAGGAGATGGGTTTCTTTAATTTTTAATATATTTCTCATATTTACACACAATCTTCCTCTTGGTGTTTAATACCTTTTTATTGGAATCAGCTTATATTTACTTACGTCAAAAAATTTTACTTTAGGTTTCACTAATCCAGATTCACATTAAAATATTTTACTTAGAGCTTAACTAATTAATCTAAAATTATATTGAAAAAAACCCACTTTAGGGTAGGATAAATTCATATTCACAAAGTCTCACTTTTGAAAATAAAACACTCTTGGCCAAACCAAACGACTGCGAACATCAAGCCTTTGTTTAAGGATACACGAGAACATACCACTCTTCAATGTCCTTGGTCAGCTAGTACCCTCTCTAGGGACTAGCTTAATTATCCAAATTTACATTGCAAATTATATCCCGGGTTAAACATTTTCTATCAAGGATGACTTTAGTTCAACACTCGAACTTGGAGATCTCGGTTAATAATAGAGAAATATTTTCTAATATAACACATCTGCAATAATATATAAAAAAAATTCTTCTTTTTTATTTTTAGGTTTATTGTTTTAAAAAATTTGATCAGTAGTAATGATTTTTTGTGTGATTTTTGAAATGAAGATTCTTCAAGAGATGTGACCATCCAGATGAGGACCAACGAGAACAATTGAGTAGAGAAGTAGGGCTTGACCCTAAAAAGATCAAGTTTTGGTTTCAAAACAAAATAACTCAGACAAAGGTATTTTAATTTATTTGTCTTTTTACTATAATTATAATTATACTTAATTGATTGTTTATTATTATTTTATTATTATTAATTATGATTCTTCTTCTTATTATTATTATAATAGTGAAATTAATATTCCTTTTTAACATATTATTAAAAAATCAAGGAAAATGGCTAGTTAAAAGTAGTCTCGACCCATGGCAGGCCCCTGAATCTCTTGTTTTAGTTCCCAAATTTGCTTCTCTAAATTTGGTTAAATTACGATATATTTTTCCCTATACATTAATTCGTACATTCACTTTCTCTCATTTTTTATTTCCCCCCTAAGTGAATTTTTTTTTTTTGTATTTCCATTAGGTTTGAGAATTTAGTCAAAGAAAATATGATTTTATAATTAGGAATTAATGATTTCCCATTTTGGATTAATGAAAAATTCCACGCATATTAAATGGCGGATCTAATTAGGTTTACGCCAGTCAAAATGATTTGAACAAATAAACGAATAGGTTAATAGTTTGTTTTGTTTGAGCTGCACTTAGATGGACCACAATCCAATTTCCCATATCAAGATTACCAAACAAAATCATTTTTAATAACATCTTTTATGAATCAATTCGATCTACATTTTTTTTATATATATCAAAGAACTATTAAACATGCATTTTGAGTATCGCCCAAATTGACTTTTGTTAAAATAGGCGTAATCAAATTCATCCAAATTGAAGCGATCGCGAGTTGGATAAATTATATTTTAATGGAATATGTTTTTCACCCATGCAAAAATTAATCCTTCAAAATATATATTGCACATGAGGAAGGTAATGTATGTTGTTCAAAATTAGAACGAAAATTTGAGCTTTTAATCAAAGATGGAGTGACAAAATATTTTTCACACATCTAAAATATGCATATATTGATATCACTCTTAGTTTTTTCAAATGTAATTACATTATAGTGTTGATTCTTGTCATATATAACTATTACCAAATGTAATTAAATTCTAGTGTTGATTCTCGTCATATATAACTAAGTACATACACCTTCAATTAATTAAAATGTGCACTTTTGATTTCTTTGCTTGTGAATATTGACAAATTTATCATAATTATTTATTGCTGAATCACATAATTACCCAATTGTTATGTTAAGCATGTATTATATTGTTACTCTATATTTTATAATGATAAGGTTTTGAAACATTTTCCATAAAAGGACCATAATCATACATTTCAATAAATTGTAATGAAGTTCAATGTTATTCTTGAAATACCACAAGAACCAAGATCAAAATGTATCGAAATTCTTGGGATGGAAAATGAAATTAACATAACAAATATTAATTAAAATCTCTTTATACATTTAATTAACTTATGATGTCTAATATTATTTATTTATATTTTTATATAATTATATTTTAAATATATATATTTATTCAGATAATGAATGAGAGATCAGATAACGAATCTCTTCAAATAGAAAATGAAAGATTTCGTTGTGACAATAAGAGCATGAAAGAGAAATTGGAAAATGTTATGTGCCCACAATGTGATGATCTACCCATTGGAAAAGAAGAAAGGGCACTTCATTTCCAAAAAATGAAAATGGAAAATCAATGGTTGAGAGAGCAGGTAAATTTTATTTTTTTTTCGTTTTAATTTATTTATTTTCCTTGAAAAGAAATAATTAGTTGTTAGGATTTGTTTTCCTCCCCTTTATAGTTGGTTTGGACTTGTATCTGCTTCTATTTCTTTTAGGCTTGATATTCCATTCTTGTTGATGACCTTTTCTTTTAAATATAGATCTACTATATAGCATGATTCAAATTCGAGGGACCTCATATTTAGCTATAATAAGATTATTATAATTTATAGGTAATATTCTTAAAAAGATGATGTATAGTCTATTTCAATCTTAAGTTTAATTAATACTATCTGATTCAATTTTCTTTTTCTCATTAAACTTCAAATTTTCTGTAAAATTAAAATAAGATAAATAGATTGAAACAATAAGAGTATTATATATAAAAAGTGTAATTTTTTCATATAAAAAGAAGAAGAAAAAACTTTGCATCTCAATATAATTTTTTAAAAAAGAATTATACCAACCACTTTGAAGGAAAATATTTTATTTATAAAGTAATCAAAAGTACTTTCAATCTTACTACAAGTTTTCTCTATTTCTTTATATTTCTTTCTCTCTGTATATTTCTTTCTGTTGAAAATAATTAGCAACATTCCTATTTAAAATAATAAGAAACCAAACTAAACTAGGATTAAGAAAATCATTTCCATATGAACTAGGACAAACAAATCCTAACTAGGAATACATTGAAAAAATACTAATTACCAAATTCTAAACAACTTAAGATTTCTACAACTTTGAACTACTATTCCAACATTCTCCTGTAATTCAAAGTTGTATACTGTTGCATTTTTCTTCTTGTGGTTGTAGTCATAGTAGTAGTATTGGAGCACTTCTCTCGAATCTTCATTTTGTTGTTGTAGTCATAGTAGTGTTATTGTTACAATAACTTGTATTTATGAAGTTAATGAACAGAAACAGAAACAAGATGAAGCAGAAAAAATTTAAAATACAAGAATTAATCCGAGTCCGCAGAAACTGCTGTGTGTCCTTAAAAAATTTAATCCCCTCACTGTACCCAAGGTTATGGATTTATTTCTCCCAAGATAAAACGGATTAAACCTGTTAAAGAAATAGCGGTACCTCAAACTTCTTTAACTTCAATGAACTGAAGAATAGCAACAAGTCACACAGACTCAGTCGATCGACACTTTGATTTTATTTTGAGAGAAAAAATAAATGCAGAGAAAGAAAATTTTTTCAGTGTTTAAAAAATCAAAAATTGACTTTCTTTTATAGCCATTTTCAGCAAGGAACATGTCTGTTCAGTGAAATCTGTTCAGACCCATTTTATCCAGAAAGTTGTATCTTTTTGAAAAAATAACAACTTTTCGAAAAATTGTGTCTGTTAGGAAAATAACTACTTTTTGGAAAATAAACGACTTTTCGGAAAAGTAACTACTTTTCTGAATGTTACCGTTACCCGCAAATTTATAAGAGATAATATTAACAGGATTTATTTGATTTAACAAAAATTGATTAAATAAATTTTGTCCAAAAAATTTATCAATCAATCACATCATTTGCCAAATCCAAATCCAAATCCAAAGAAATGACTTTTCATTTGCACTTTGCAAATGACTTTTCATTTTCTCTCCAAAG